TTGTCTAAATACACGAAATTTGTTTTTCACTATCATATGGTGTATCTTTAACGATATAATTAAGTGTATAAATAAAACGTCTCTAAATTTTCTAATGACAATTCGGCCACATTGCATTTTTTTTGGCAAACGAGCATGCAGATCACCTGATGGTAAGTAATCACTGCCGCCCATGAACAACTGCAATACCAGGATAATTGCTGATGCGTTGCCGGCCTTTTAAAAGGAGTAGGCTCTTTTCTTGAAAGTCCCTAAGTCGTATCGGTTCGGAAAAATCTCTGGTGATAGTTGATTCAACAAAGAAGTTGTGCAAGGAAGAAAACTTCTAAATCACACAGTGTGATCTCCAGTCGTCCAGATGGTATGGACGGTATCGATGTGCGATGGTGAAATTGTGCGGCTGTAATTAGTCTGAACAATTTCTCAGAGCACTCCCCGTGAAAAATGCGATAAAACACGCAAAGGGATGCAACATCTCTTCGCAGTGCCAGTGAGTCTAACCGATCGGAAAAAGTTCAGTCGCCTACGATTCGAACAGCTCTCCTCTGGATGTGATCAAAAAGGAAGGAGCTGGCACTGGAGAGCTCCAGTCCAGAGATGGAAACAGTATTCCATGTTCGGCCGAACCCGCGCCTTGTAAAGTTGCAGGCGGTGTGCCGGCATGAAATACTGGCCCGCCCTGCTAAGCACGTCAAGCTTTCGAGAGGCCAGTTTGGCCTTCTCTTCCAAGTGACCACGAAACTGCACGTCACTCAACATACCACTTAAATAGCTCATCTATGAGTAAGGTAATCCAGAAGATCACCAGCTGAGCGACCCCGACGGAAACCGTACTAGCGGTCACTAATCAGCTGGGGATCCTCAAGGTACCTCATGAGCTGGCAGTTTATAATAGATTCCATTATTAGAACATTAAGCATAGAACTTAGGGATCTCACAAAGCTTCTTCCATGATTTCGACTACACCTATGTAAGTACGGAAAAGATGCGGTGCCAACTACGGAGCACACGTCCTCAGCACAATAGGAGGGATGCCATCAGGCCCACTCGACTTGTTGACGTCCAGGGAGAGGAGTGCTCTGCGCACCAAGCGCTGGGTAAACAACACATCGTGAATGGAGCACTGACACCGCGAGATAGTCGGCGGTGTGTTCCCTACTCATCAAGTAGAATTAGACGCAAAGAGAGAGCCCAGCAGATCGGCTTTGTCTTTTGCGGTAAGGGCCAGTGAGTCGTCCTCCCTGTGCAGAAATGGGAGAGATGGTTTACAGATGTTCCCTTGAACAGCCTTGGCGAGAGACCAGAATGCACGTGTTCCCGAAGGCATTCAAACTAGTTTCCCGCCAGTTCCGCCGATGTGCTTTGACTTTGCCTTGGCAATGAAATTTTGGAGCACTTGGAGGCGGAGTTATACTACTTTTTAAGAGTGCTAGTATTTGCATACCGAACTGCGCCTAGTTCTCTGTATGGCACCAAGCCTCCTCCAATAGGTACTACAGATGATGAAATAAAAAGTTCTATTTTCTGTAGCACCGCATAAGCGACAGAATTAGCAACAAAACTAGGATCATCCGGCGAGAAGCAAACCCGCCCCCAAAAGTAGGATGCAAAAAAAAATCACACTACTGCAGAGGGAAATCGCGATGGGAGCGTGAGTGGCACTGTACTCTGGATCAGACAACGGTCTGAGGAGCCAAGAAAGGCATCGACGAAGACCTGATACAATCGTGAATACATCGCGATCTCTGCCTATAGGATCTGTTGTAGTACGAAGTCTGCAGCCATTTGGAGGTGGTCGATGAGTCGGTGTGTCGGCATTACCGCTATGGGACCTATAGAGGCACCCGTAGACGCGCGGATGGTCGTCGCTGTCTACGTGCAGCCATAAGATGGACAGGTCCGTACCTTCAGGGCTGCCGAGGCGTAGAAAACAAATGACTTCTCTGACGTACACGCAAGGTCCAGCCCGGGGCACAAAGGAGTGTTCTAGTTTGTACCCCGGCTAGCTGGGATACGAATTATCAGCCGGTGAGGACACCTGTGTCTCAGTTGTAAAGAGCAAAGCGGACTATACACTATCTAGACAGTAGTGGACGGCATTAAGGTTTGAATGAAGTCCCCTGATGTTGCAGAAATTCACGGATAGCGTGGCAGGGGCGCCTTTGTCTTATTGCTCGGTTTGGCCAGAGCAGGTTTAGTCTCGAGCGGAATTTTGTTCCCTCAGAATACGCGGCGCAGCCTGAGCACCCACGCTCAGGAAGAGTAGGGTAGGTTGGGCGTGGATGCTCAGCGAGGGATTATCTGTTACCTGAAGTGCTGGTACCCTCCTGGGGTAGTATTCTATTTAACTCCGCTACCATGTTCAGGAGAGGGGGCTGAATTAGGCCTCCGGCCACCTGTACTCACTAGACGAAATGCAGAAGCAGAATACCTACTACACGCTGTTCTTCTGTGAGGTCGTGATACCACCCCGGTTCGAGTCGGCCTAAACGTGCTACAGCAAAAGCTGCCGCGTGGCTAACCACTGTGTTACTATACAACGACTGAAACAACTAGTTGAGTAAATTAATTTACGCCTTACCTTTTAGTGCAATATTTACTATACCTAGAAAGTAGTGATTTTTTAAAGTCAACTTTCTCCGAAAACAATAAAAAACTTACAAATGTGTCATGGTTTTATTACATACTGAATAAAAATAAACTATTATAAAAGTGGATAAGTAGACGATAAAAAACTGATTTAATAAAAAGAACCGCTTGCTAGCTATACAGAGTCGCAGGGATTGTGTATAGTGTTGCAAGGAAAATCAATTTTCAGTGTTCAGCAATAACCTAAACATACTATTCAATTTTGGAAGGGCCCTCCGTATGTGTATTGAATTTGAACGTTAGAATGTTTTACGTCCGTGGGTAGAATCGAAGGAAATGTAGAAAAAAAAATCTTTTTATAAACAATATTTGAAGACTTCTTGAATCAGCTTAAAGTTAATATCACACAATAGTAAATAAAAAAATTGATCATAAGGAATAGAAATATGGATGCTGTTAAATTTAAAAAAAAATATTTAATTCAATTTCGACGGTTATTTTTTCTTTTATTACGTAAATTCGTTCAATATGGAGGTATAAATACCTTTAAATAAGTAATTAATCCCACATACATAACACTAATTCTCATATTATGAACATTCGGCTTAACATTTACAATAAACATATATAAGCATACATAATACAACAATGTTACAAATAATGCATTCATTTATATTATAAAAACATAACAACCGCCACTAACATTTCAAGCAAAGAATTTTTATTACTATTACAACCATAACTTTCCAATATTTATCAACATTAATAATACCTGCAGTCTTAAGACAATATATTCAAACCAATAAACTATTAGTTAATATAAATGTAGGATTGCAAGAAATATCAATACTATTAATTATATGCTTATACCTGATTGATTATACACATAAAATTTAAATTTTCCGGTAAAATAACTTTAAAACTGAATTTTAGGCGTATTTGGTGGAAAATAAATAATAAAGCACGATAGTCCTAGTGAAGGAAATTACAGATAGTTAGAATCAGACTAGGCCGATAACAATTGATTTAATATGGTGGTTATTTTACTGTTACACATTATAATACCTAGTTTTATGAATATGAAAATGATTATGGAATTAGCTGATCTTTGATTGTAGATAAAATAGCTCTTAACAAATAATGAAATATGAATTACTTATCTAAGTTTACGTTTACGATTCAAGTTTTTAATTTTTACAGTTATTAAACTTATTTATTTTGTTCACAGTATAGGCAATATTTTGTTAACTTCTAGCCACCTAAACCAAAAAAGAAAGAAAGACGGAGCGCTGCGTACATTTTAAGTGACGCATGCAAAACCATGCTTACTTATTGTAGGAATAGATATCCACGTACATATACATCTAAAATAATTTGCACATGTGTGCGTCCGGCAGTAAACTATCACGGTATTTTAAAGACAGAAGGAATAAAGGTTTGTGCATGACAAAAAGTTGAGCATGGATTTTGAGTTACCTGAAATCTATGCAGTGCTCTTTCTTGCTTTGTTGCTCTGAGACGGCCAACGTATATACAAATAAAAATAGCTTAATGAGTATTTTTTAAGTTAAAACGTGTAGTTAATAATTAAAATGTGAATATGATAGGATATTTAAAAAAAGAAATAAAGGAAATGATTGAATAAAATAATTTATTAAGACAATTCATAAGCAAATTTGAACATAAATTCATAGCAAAATAATATTAAAAAAAAAGAAAACATATATAATGCTTTAAATTTGAGTATCCAGTAAGTATATTACACAAAATTATTATAAGCTATTTATTTTCCTGATTATGGATAAATTATAATTCGAAAGTCTTATAAAATAACAATTACATTCATTAGTGTTTGTACATATCATGACAAAACTTATTCATCCTCTCTCCATCAATTTTCACAAATAAGTCCGTAATCATATCAGTTAAATATTACTTACTTTTTAGTTAGGAGCATGAGTAGTCAAGTTATTATTATTATTACATGGATCTAAAATAAATTATCACCGTAATTCATCATTGAGCCTAAATTTTTGAAAGTATTCTAATTTTTACCACAAACTAGACTTAATAGAAAAGTAGGATTATATTAGTCTGGAACTCGGGAATAACTTTTATGTTGTATTGTTGACACATTAAACTAAAATGTATTTCATCAATTGCTTATCATTTTAAAAAAACGTGTTTGTTGAAAAAATTTATGTCCTGTCTTCACAACATTTTTGAAATGCATTCAAAACTAGATAATAAGTTTCTAATAGAAAATTACTAAACTTGTTATGAGAACGAAACGGTACCTATTGTTAATGCTAGAATAATAAATTAATGAAAAGCCATTTCAATTCCAGATAATATAACCCAGTGGACATGACATTTCAAATATACAAAAGTTCATACACTTTGCAGTCAAATCAGCTTTGATTAATGGAGTCTTCAGATTGGTTGGCACTTGTACAGTCTCCTTGTGGGGCGATTTTCACCGGTTTACCGCTTTTGCCTACAAATATTTCAACTTCCTGAAAAAAAAAATGTATTACATGAATACAATATTCAATTTAATAATGATATTAGACATCCAGCATACATGAGAAAACTGAATTCGACCCCCGGCGTCACCAATGAAATTGTTAACTCGCTTCTTAATTGTCGAGCGAATTAGTATTAAAGCGGAGACAAATTTAGAAACACAGCACTGTCTGTGGCGGCCGCAAGAGATTGAGGTACTCGATTCTGTCTAGTTTCGTAAGATAAAAACAAAAACTTATTTGTAAAATGTCTTCGCAATATGACCTATAAAAATGCTTTTACTCAATATAAGTTTTAGACAGTTTCATTACGAAATCTCTGGATTATCTCAATTCATATTTATCATTAATAAAAGTCATATTAATGATTTTTTAATGAGTCAACTATTACGACGCGCGTTTTTTTATTATGTGCGAGCAGCTATGCAGGTCTAGGGAAAGAGACCAGTATCACTGCGACCTGAACGATCTATTGTGATCGCTGCTATACGATGCGCGTTTCTGTTTTTATACAACCCTTGTATCTACATTTAAGTAGATTTATAGAGGTCTAAAAAGTAACTACTGCAACGAAGCCTAAGTGCTGAGTTACCCACATACTCGGCGGTAACGGAAAACAGTGATAAGAAATCTGCATGTGAGATGCATGAAAAAAATTCGAGAACGTGTGAAGTCTGCCAACATACATTGGGGCAGCACAGTGGACTTTTTGTTCTAAAAACCTTTAAGATATTGCCTGGTTTCAGGAGTAAGTAAAATACCTGGGACTAATTGTCTCACTAGAGTAAGTCCAACTTTAACAAGGAAGCTTCTGGGAGATTAGAACACATTTTCTTCTAAATTTCTCAAACGCTACCTAGCCGAGTTGGATCCGTCAAATGACCTCTCGGTCGAAGTTGAACTTACCTAGTCGGACTATTTGTCCCAGGTAAACAAATTCGTCAACAACTTCGAGCTTAGTGCTCCTATCAACTACTGGCATAGGTGTGACATGGACGTTACACATAATCGTGTAAAACATGTGTATGAACTTGTAAACCATAGTATGTGGAATAACAGGTTTTTACCTGACTGCCTTCAATGCCCATTTCATCCTCCTTCTCACGGCTGCTACCAGGAGTCGCCGCTCGAGCCGCCAGTTGTCTTTCGCGTGCAACACGTCTGTTGACAAACGAAATTATTGTCTATTATCTATAAGTACATAATAAATTTGATAACTTTTAAAATAAATCCTATATAAAAGCATGTACTATCTGCAACTTTAGTGCTTGAATTTAAATAATACTAGTTTTTACGGATTTTATCGCTTTTAACTTTTTTATATATCCGACGTTTCGAACACTTTATGCCCCATTTACGCTCAGCCTCTTGTTGGGCAGGGAAGTGAGCAGGGTAGTGGGCAGGCCAGTATGTAACTAGCAAAGGCTACTCGTTTCTGTAGCTGCCCACGCCGCTGCCGCTGCCCGGCGATCCCTCAATTGTCGGTTTTTCGCACGGAAGTCGAAGGACGGGCAGCGCGAGCGGGAGCGAGTGTTTACATTCTCGCTCACTTGCCGCCGAAGTTCGACCGAGAAAGAACGTGCTACGTTTAAAAACGGCAATTCGTGTATTTAATCTGTCCTGTGATTTAATGATATTTAGGAATGATAAAACAATTAACTTTTTAGAATTTTATGAAGTTGAGGGGGTAATATGGGATCCTCATGATATAAACCATAAATTGTACTTAGTAGCTACTTATATTGAGCAGACATAATGCTCTCACAACAACAAATTATACGTTTTTTTATAGAATAAGGGTGACAAACGAGCACACAGTCCACCTGATCATAAGTGGATGCTATGGTCCATAGACATCTACATTTATCCTCGATTAATAATCAAAACGCGGGTGCGTTGTCACCCCTGAGGACTAAGACGGAATGCCTCGTAACCAGTAAAAAAGAGTCTCCGGATCTCTACACTCACCATACGAAACACAGCAGTATTAAGCCGCTATTTTACGCTGGTATTCTGTGAGAGCGTGGTCCTTCCCCGGTCGAGCCGACCCATTCGTGCTACAACTATAATATACCTGCAGCATGGCTCCACCACCTATAAAATGATACATCAGTCATTGTTGCGAGTTGATCAATAAATAAGTATGAAGGCTGAGTGTAAACACCCATCGCGTCGTTACTGTCGCAAAAGTATTTAGGTAAATATTTCAAGCAGCGACAGGAGCAGTAGCAGTGGCCTAGTGTAAATGAGGCATTACAACATTCATAGTCACGGGTGAACTGAGATGTTCCACGTCCAGATGTCATAGTTAACTGCTGTTACCACAAATTAAAGTTAATAATTTTTGTTCCGATCTACAAAGTATGTACTTATAGTACATTGAAGTCTTGCAGTTGTATGCTTGGGTTGGGATTTAATTTTACTAATTATAGGATCCCTAGCAGACGGTAGCGCCCAGCCATCTTCTCTATTGAAATAAGGATGTTTTTTGATTTCAATAGCCTCGCGAATCATCCTTGGAAAGAATCGGTGTTCTCTAGCGAGGATTTGTGGTCTATCAAATCTGATGTAGTGACGGATCCTGTACATGTTCACAGACTACAGATTTTCTGATAACACCTTGAGCCACACACTATACATAATAGAAAAAGACCCATACAGATAGATATTTAAACAGTGATTCTCACCAGCATCCTTCACAGTTAGCTAACATGGGTAAATCTTTGTTTCAGAGACCACGAAGGATCTGTGACAATAAACACCTGGCTGCCGAGCTTGCAACACGTCAAGCAAGTTTAGCATGACAACAAGCTTCGGGTCCCGCGCCTACGTCAGAGAAGTGCGTCGAGCGTGTACCTGCTGTACTGCCATATGTTAGAGGAGTCACTGACAAGATTGGCTACATCATGAAGCGTGCTTCCATTGAGAGGATACCTTGAAAATGATTCGAAGTTTTGGGAGCGTGGCTTATTCCTTTGTCGGTAAAGCTCACGGACGACTGAAGGAGTGTCAAAATGAAAGTGATGCAATGACTTCATAACAGGAAAATTATGATATAGCTATATCGAGCACATGTACGAAAAAAAAAACTAAGTACGCGCCAAACAATATTTTTAATTTTTTATTACAAAACTTCGTTATGGATTTAAAAAAACGGTTTATGAGAACTTAGATATAATTATTATAGTAAATAATTAAAAAATAGCCTTAAAAATAGTTTCATGAACTCATTCATCTGTTCGTCTGCTGTCATAGAGAAATGTAAACCTAATTGGAGCCTACTTTGCAATTTTTTTTTCTATCAAGAAAATTACACGATATCGTGTTTTCCTTTTATGCAATCCAAGGTCATATAGACAAAAATCATATACCAAAATTTTGGTTTGTAATCTATAAAATTTAAAAAAACCAAATTTTCGACCTCCTCAAAACCTTAAAACACACTTCAAGCCGCCGAAGATTGGTAATTTTTTACCATCAGTCGATTGTAATGTCCCTTTGCAAGATGAAGGCGTTTACAAGCTTGATTGTTAATGAGGTCTCTCTTACATAGGACAAACTAAAAGATCAATTAAAACCAGTGGTGGCCCTAGCACAATTTTTAGGTGGTGCGAGATCTCGTAGTGTCTTATTACCTCTACTATATATGATATATACTATGCAGTTGCTTTTTCGTGATTTTAAATATAATTAGACCTATCAAATATCTACAGGTGTATAAGCGAGGCAAGCTCAAATCTGTCTATCGCTCCTGCGATAGCAATTGTTCTGTTTATTGGCGTTAAAGAAATGTTGTCCATTCCGCTCGCGCAACTCTGTTGCGCTCGACAACGCCACTAAGCTTGCCTTGCTGCGATGACTAGTTGTACAGATTATTTCTCATACTAAGAGTTAATAAACTTGTTTGACCACATTTATTTAAACTGTTGTTCTGCAGACAGTTTTAAAAATGTCACTCACTGTCAGCGAATACGAGGTAGAAATAGCATTGATGAGATTGGATGGAAGCAAGACTTCAGGATTGGATGGCTTGCCCCCGATCATACTAAAGAAGTGTGCTGAGAGTATGTCAAAACCTCTTGCCTATATATTAACCACTCTATCCGAAGCGGAATTTAAAACCACGTATGAAAAAAGGCACGCATCATCCCCATCCATAAAATCCAGAGATCTTACCGATTTGTCCAATTACAGGCCTGTTTCCATACTTCCAGCACCCGGTAAGGCTCTAGAGTTATTTGTTCATAAAACAATATATTGGCACGTTAAAGAGCGCCTGCATCCAAACCAACATGGCTTTCAGCCTAAAAAGTCTACAACATCTAACTTAGTCGGTTTTGTTAATGATATTGCATGTGCACTGGATAGGAATAAAGAGGTACACAGTATTTACACCGATTTTAGCAAGGCCTTCGATCTCATCAACCACGACCTCCTTATAAAGAAGATCATGCTAATGGGGGTCCAAGGTTAACTGCTGCGCTGGTGCGATTCCTATCTTAGAAATCGGTCACAGTTGGTCACGTTGCGTGGTTATTCATCCTTAGCTAGAGAGATTCCTTCAGGCGTTCCCCAGGGCTCTCATATCGGTCCATTGTTCTTTCTCATTTTCATAAACGATCTAGCCAATATAATAGAATGTAATTTTAAAATGTATGCAGACAACCTTAAACTGTACAAAATCATTGACTCCAAACTAGATGTGACCACTCTACAGTACGAGTTGAATAGATTATACAACTGGTATTGTCACAGAAATCCAAGACTTAGGCGTTTTAATTGACAGCACGCTCAGCTTTAGAAGTCATATTGACTCCATAGCAAAAAAAAAAGCTTCTAAATTATCCGGGTTCATATCCAGGCAAATAAAATCTTTTAAAGACCCTGGTTTAATCATTCCGATCTATAACTGTTTGGTCAGAACTATTGTGGAATACGCTAGCCCAGTTTGTAATCCAGGGTACAAGGGTCACTCAAACCAACTGGAAAAGATTCAGAAAAGGTTTATGTACTACTACTCATTTCATACGAGAGTAGATTGGCACACTACAAATTAGAATCACTGTCCAAGCGGCGGGAATCATCTGATGTCATGTTCCTCTATAAAATTATCCATGGTCTCATCAACTGTCCGGACATTTTAAATCATTTAGATGTGTCGGTCCCTAGAACTGGCAGTCGTTTGGGCCGCAAAGACTTTTGTCATGCCGCACTGTAAAACAGTGGCAGGTCATCACTCGACATTGTACAGAATGACTAATGGTTATAATAATATTCGTGATTTGTTCGACATCTTTCATGGTTCTAAGTCCTCAGCAAGGGCTAACATTCGATTAGCCATTAATTAACTCATATTTATCACTTTAGAGTTTCTTTTCATTTCTTTATTTGTATCTGTCATCTTGTTGTTGCATGCTGTGTTCACTGTTATTAGAATGAACGTTTGTTTGTTACTTTTTTATGTTACCTGTACCATGTAAACGTTACATTCCATTTGTGAACAAACTAATAAAAAAAAGATAAAAGAACTATAAACAACAAACTTAATGAAAAGCCTAGATGGCCAGCTTTCTGGCTTTCAGATGCGTTTGCAATTTTTTTATTAATTCGGAATAATTTAACTTCCGGGCAATAGAATTTTCTATGGTAAAGATTCCAAGATATGACAGTATTTCCTGACATATAGTAGAAACGTAGGTAAACTTTTAAATGTTTTAATGTACTAAAACTTCGTTTCCGTTTGGCAAAAGTTAGTACAGGTAAAGTCAGCAAGATATAAGTGCTGTCTATACATTTGGTAAAAATATCCTGCCAATCATTATTTTTAATAAGTTTGAGAACTTTATGTGGCTCTATTGATTGAAGATCTTTAAATAATGGAATCAAGCTCATAAGTTCTTGAACCAATTTACAACTAGACGAATCATATTATGCCCTTATTTTCAACTGATTTGCAAATCAACACAGGCATTTTGACTTTTCAGGAATTATTTTCATTTTGTATAAAAATGAACACGTATCATAGAACTTTGACAGTTTCAAGAATAGCCAAGTAACTAACGCACTTTTAATTGTATCAATCACAGAGTAAAAAACGTTCATTTTAAACAATTCTTTAGGATCTTTTGGTGTCTCACCTAAGGCTTCGTACACAAATAATATTTTCTTTCTTCGGAATCGGGCTTGCTTAAAAATTGGATCCATCTGTTATTAGAGCAAATGAAAAGGCTCAGTACTGTTTAAAAATTCTGACAATATTTTCAAACAATATGACACCTTTAGTCAATCCATAGATTCAGCCCGCATAGCTTTTTTTTGTGCGAGCCGCTATGCAGGTCTAGAAAGACCTGTATCACTACAACCTAAAAGATCTTATTGTGATCGCTGCTATGGCTATAGTTCACTGCTAAGCCCTGTGTCTTCAATGAATACGAGTTGCTTTGCTGTGAGCAATTTCACTTCATCAGGGCGAAGTAGAGATGGATCACTTTTTAGGAACGCAAGCGCAGACCGCCCCCTGGTCTAAATAAAGGGGCGTTAGGCACAGAAGTGCATTAAAAGCTGATCCCGGCGATGATAGCATCGCTGTAGTGTAGTAGTAGCCATTAAGTAGGCAGTCCATTGTGGACTATTTAGTCCGTCCGCAGTTGTCCTGTGTTTGGCCTTATTACACCAGACAATAGAAATGTAGGTGATAGTCGGCCTCACTATGCTGGTGTACAGCCATAAGATCATACTGGAACACTACCCCCAGTTGCTCCCAACCATACGACTGCACATACCTAAAATAATTTTAGCTGTATGACATACGTTGCTAAGGTGAAATTTCCACGTTAGTTTTTGGTCGATTATTATATCCAAATACTTAACTTTTTCGATAATTAAACGAATCAGGCGTAACTTTGAAGAAATCCATTATATTGAAGTTGTTAGAACTTAATTGGTAATTTCTGCATAATAAAATACAATTTATATGTCCTGTCCAGTCTGAAGAGCACCCACCACCCTCCCTCCCTCAGTTGCGTGTACTATCCCCTTCACCACCACTCCCAGCGCCACCACACTAGGAACGACACACCCTTGATAATACGACATGTGTTTCGTCTCTACACGAAGCATCTTCAGATGAAGTAAACTCTTCGGAGACTGACACTATCTTCGTAACCACTAATCCTATCTCACCACTCCCTCAGTCCTTCGCTCTCCAGACGCAATAGCAACTGCTTCGGCTCGCCGCTCACTTAGCCTTCAGCCACCGCAGAGATTACTTCACCTGTTGATGCCTCGTGTAGAGGCGAAACACGTATCGTATTATCGAGCGTGGTATGTCGTTCCTAGTGTGGTGGTGTTGGGTGTGGTGTTATTGGGAGTGGTGGCTAATGGGATAGTGCATGCAATTGAAGGGGTTGGAGATGCTCTTCAGACTAGGTATGATACATCATTTTATTTTATTACGCGAATATAAGAAATTAAGTTCTAATAACTTCAACCACATGGATTGAAACGGAATGTTAGTGATAAGATTGAGTGCATTGATGACCGGTGCCCAGTGGTAGAATTTCGGTTGATTTAGCCCCCCCCCCCCCGATGACGGCGCCCGGTGCGGTAACACCGCTCGCACCGCTCTAGGGCCGCCACTGATTAAAACCCGCGTTAAATAACATATAGCTGAAGTGAAGAATCAACGCTCCGGGAAGTCAGCAGTCTGTGAACACGTACAGGATCGCCCCCGCCACTAAATCAGATTACATAAACCACAAATCCTCGCTAAAGAACACCGATTCTTTCCAAGCATGATTCACGAGGCTATTAAAATGAAAAAACACCTTAATTTCAACAGAGAAGATGGCTGAGCACTACCATTTGCTTGGGATCCCATAATTAATAAAATTAAATCCCAACCCAAGCATACAACTGCAAGACTTCAAGATACTATAAGTTCATACTGCGTAGATCGGAACAAAAACTAATAATTTTAATCTGTAGCAACTGCGGTTAAATATTACATCTGGATGTTGCACATCTCAGTCCCCCCGTGACCATGGGTGCTGTAAAGCGCTCGAAACGTCGGATATATAAAAAAGTTAATATACGCGATAAAATCCGTAAATCCTAGTATTATTTAAATGTGCAATATAAGAAATCTTTATTGCTTGAAATTACTAAGGAAACACCACATTGTACCATTTTTTATCACTTAGCCTTTACAATTAAATTATACTAATTTCTTATATTTACACTAATACAACATTGTAAAAAACATTCAATTTTACTCATTTTTAATTCCCGACTTTTAAAAAATAAAGGTTTAAAAGCCCGAGCTTACTATGATTATCACAATGCAACACATGTCAAACACCTTAATCCAATGATGACCCCTATGATAATGGGTGCTGTAAAGTTGCCGAAACGTCGAGAATTAAAAATAAGTTAAACTAAATGCGATAAAATTCATAAAAACAGTTGTACTCAATTTAGCCTGATTCCTGATATGACACATGACTGCTTAGTCAAACCAACCCCTACAGTACCACAAATAAATAAGTTTACACACTAATGTTGGCTCCGGCAGGCATTTGAATTTAGGATTAAAACCCATGAAGTAGAAGCCAGGTACTCTGAACATCTAGAGTAAGCATATTGTGGCTGAGAATTATATAAATCCATCAGTTGTATATTGTAGAAGGTAATTGTATATATAACAAATTAAGAAGATACAAGAAATATGGATAATATGTTTTAATAATCAACTTTCAACCCATATAACAAATAAAATAACACAATCTAAATAAAATATTACCTTCTGTGCTCGAGCATAGCCTTGCGATCAGCTTCACGTTTCTCGGCAGCTAACCGCGCTTTCTCGTTAGTGACACGAGGCGCCGTTCTAGAGCGCCCGCGTGCTGGTGAAGTGGTTACGGTTGGTGGCTTTGCCACCGGCGAAGCGATCTGAATAAAAAGAAAAAAAAAATATATTAAAGATCATGAAAGCTGAGAGAAGAGAAACCACCATTCTATTTCTTATTGTGGGTGCTGTTGTAGTCGTTTTCAGGAATGGAAAAAATGTCTCAAGGCCTAAATATAAATTATATCAGTAATTAATATAGTATGAAAATATGATGAACGCTAGGTGACATGTGACGGTTGAGAGATTCCACAACTCTATTTATTACTATAGGTGTTGTTGTTGCCAATTTTGCGGAATTCAAGAATGGTCTCAGGGCTTTAGATAAATATTGGTAAAGACATATGTAAGAGACTAGTAACGGGAAGTCGTATTAAAGGTACCATAAGTCTAGTCTGAGATTATTTATACAAAATGTTAAGAGCAAGATGTAAAGAAACTCACCTCCTGCCAGTTGTTAGCCTTCATTGCTGCTATGTGTTCGTACAGGGCATCTACGTTGCGGACCTGCAGGCACACCATGTCCCAGAAGCCTTGTAAATCTTCCACTGTGGTAGGAAACGGCTCGTCCAGACGTTCATTGATGTTGTTGTAACAGAGGCCTGAAAATTAATGCAGAAAAATTAGGATTATTTTAGAGTAATTTATATTTGAACTTGGATTAAAGCCATTGACATTGCACTTTATCCTTCTCCAGTCCCATTGGATAATGAAATTGAGGGAATATAGAGTGCACCTGGGCTTGGGCACACACTAATGCATTGTAATTCTATCCCATGCAAATGTCTAGCCTCCATTGTGGCTGATCACCGTGACCGTTTCAGTTCAGTTTGGAGGACATTTTTATTAATGCTGCTCATCATCACAAGGCTGTGCAATTTGGTATAGCATTTTGCATTTTTTGTTATCTTTATTTTATTGATGAGATATTAAAACTATTGCACATACAAATGATGATTATTTGTAATATTGATGTAACCTCAATATTACTAGCAATTGACTTCAAAAAAGATAATTTTGCAATACCTTCAAATTGTTGCATCTTCTGAGTGGCTAGCAGGCGTGCTTTACCAGACGCGGCCCTTAGTAAACCCAGTACTTCTTCACTTATGTTCTCTTGATTCTGGAAACATAGTTTGGTAAAATTACAGTAATGGGAAATCCTTGAGAGATTAATTCTTAATAAAAGTTCATTAAAACACAAAATAAACTGCTTATGTAATAATTGGCCTCTTACCTAGTAGCATTTCTTTGCATGTTCTTTGGTGTCAACATAAAAAAACTAAAATTTTAAAATCAAGTTTCCCTATAGTAAAAACAGCAAAAGAAACTGCAAGCACGATTTTACTTGGTCGATTTTTAATGGACATTTATTACAATAAATTTAAAGGAATATCCTCAGAAGTAGTTGATTCTCTACACGGAGGCATAAGAGAATCTAGTGATTCTATTGGATTACTTATATAACCCTGTGGTTGTCGTAAGAAGTGACAGAGGGAAACTGAAACAAAAGATGGGCCTGCCACCACTTCTATCTGCTAACAGCTGCATCTTCTTAACTACAGCTCAGAGAGCATGGCAACTTTAACTAAATCCCTTAGGTGAATAAGCTATGGAGGAGGTGTGTGTTCAGCAGCACACTTTTGATAGGCTATAATGAATAAAATGAAATTTAATGAATCCTCATTAGTAACTGAGGCATGATATATGTTTGAAAAAACACAATTTTTTAACTTACTAAGTGTATTGTAAGGTTGACCAAGCGCAACTAGTTGTGTTTATAATTATTGTACTTCTATCAATCACCATATTGCTATAATGAGCTGTAGTATTTTACTAAGCCCACTAGGGGTTCACTGTAATTTCACACGTCGCGATCAACCCGAGACCTTAGATTCCCGAATGAAGTTTCTAACTGTAATTTTATGTGCTGATTTAACTTGCTCCATAATCCTCTCAGAAAATAGGAAGGGTATGCCCAAAATATGGGATGAAATATATAGGCTAACTTCACTCATTTTTAGAGTACTATAACAAATGCTGTAAAATAACACAAGCGTTTAAGTGTATGTATAGACATACACTTATTATGATTAATTATAGCTATTTTTCTATACATAGGTATAAAAAATAGCTATAATTAATCTATTCTATAGTAGGATTTTAAAAAAACCTTGATTGATATTTTTTTTATAGAAGAGGGGGCAAACGAGCATGCGGCTCACCTGATGTTAAGTGACTACCGCCACCCATGATCAACCGCAACACCAGGGGAATTGCAGGTGCGTTGCCGGCCCTTTAGAAAGGAGTAAGCTCTTATCTTAAAGGTCCCCAGGTCGAAAAATCGCCGGTGGTAAACTATTCCACATAAGTATACGCGGTAACGTTTCCGCCAGTGGATTATCGGGACGTTTGCCGCGTAGTGCGTTCACGAAATTTGGCGGCTGGGATTAATCCGAACAATTCCTCAGAGCACTCTCCATCGTATATGCGAAATAAAATGCAAAGAGATGCAACACCTCTTCGCAGTGCCAGTGAATCGAGCCGATTGGAAAGCACTCGGTCGTCGACGATTCGAGCCGCTCTGCGCTGGATGCGGTCAAGTGGAAGGAGCTGGTACTGGGGAGCCCCAGCCCAGAGATTGGAACAGTATTCCATGTGCGGCCGAACCTGCGCCTTGCAAAGTCGCAGGCGGTGTGCCGGCATGAAATACTGTCCTGCTCTGCTGAGCACGCCAAGCTTTTTAGAGGCCAATTTGGCCTTCTCTTACAAGTGACCACGAAACTGCACGTCACTCGATATGTCACCGCCGAGGATTCCGATACTGGCTGAGGCAACAAGGGGAGTGCCTTGAAACTGAGGAGATACGACAAAGGGGTTCTTTTTAGCGGTTAACGCGCAAACTTGTGTCTTCTGGGGGTTAAACTGGACTAGATTTAGTCGCCCCCAATCCGAGACTCTGTTCAGCAAAGACTCGACTTCAGACACAAGTTTGTCCCGGCGCTCGGAGACGTTTTCCCGAGAAATATTGGCTCGGCCGGTGTAAAGAGCATCACCAGTGCTGTCATCTGCATAGCAATGAATGTTATTAATGAGGGTTTGCAACATATCATTGATATGCAGAAGAAACAGCGTTGGCGATAGCACGCAGCCTTGTGGAACACCAGCATTAATAGGCTTGAAATCGGAGCTTGCACCGTCTACACCTTGATGCTCCGATCTGCAAGAAAGCTGGTGATCCAATCGCACAATTTCTCGGGAAGCCCATAGGAAGGGAGCTTCGAAAGAAGCGCTTTGTGCCAAACCCGATCGAAGGGCTTCGCAATGTCCAAACTAACGGCCAATGCCTCTCCCTTGGACTCTACTGCCTCCGCCCATCTATGAGTTAGGTAGACCAGAAGATCACCATCTGACCGACCACGGCGAAAACCGTATTGGCGGTCACTTATCAGCTGGTGATCCTCAAGGTACCTCATGAGCTGGCAGTTTACAATAGACTCCATTGTTTTGGAGAACAAGGAGGTGATGGCGATAGGCACGTAGTTGGACGGGTCTGAGCGGTCGCCTTTTTTAGGGATCGGGTGGACGAAAGCCGTCTTCCATGATTTTGGTACTACGCCTAGGGAGTAGGAGTACCGGAAAAGACGCGTTAAAACCGGTGCCAACTCTGGAGCACACGTCCTCAGCACAATTGGGGGGATTCCGTCAGGCCCACTTGACTTGTGGATGTCCAGGGAGAGGAGTGCTTTGCGAACCGAGCGCTGTGTGAACTGCACTTCCGGCATGGAGCACTCACACCGCGGGATGGTCGGCGGCGTACTCCCCCCGTCATCGAGAGTCGAGTTGGACGCAAAGAAAGAGCCTAGAAGATCGGCTTTCTCTTTTGCGGTATGGGCCAGTGAGTCGTCCTCCCTGTGCAGAGATGGAAGAGATGGCTGACAGAAATTCCCCTGGACAGCCTTGGCGAGAGACCAGAATGCACGGGTTCCAGAAGGAAGGCGAACTAGTTTCTCGCCAATTCTGCCTATGTGCTCTGACTTTGCCTTGGCAATGACTCTTTTGAAGGACCTAGAGGCGGAATTATACTTCTTTTTTATTGCTCTGGTGTTTACATCCCGGGACGCTGATGCGTCAGCCCAGGCTCGGTAGCACTCCTGCTTATAGCATGATGCTATTTTACAGGAGCGACCAAACCATGGCTGAGATTTGCCTCCAATGCGCACCACAGACGAAGAAATAAAGAGTTCCATACCCTGAAGTACCACATCAGCGACAGAATCCGCAACAACGTTGGGATCGTCCGGCGAGAAGCAAACCCGCCCCCAAGGGTAGGATGCAAAGAAAGACCGCATCCCATCCCAATCGGCTGACCTATAGTGCCAAACACGGCGGCAGCCTGCAGAATGCAACCGCGATATCAGCGTGAGTGGCACCACACTCCGGACAAGGCAATGGTCCGAGGAGCCTAAAGGGGCGTCGACGGAAATCTGATATCCGTCCGGGTGAGAGGTCAGCAGAAGGTCCAACAGGGAAGGTGCATGATCCTCCACATCTGGAATCCGCGTAGGCGAAGTAACCAGTTGTGTCAGACCATATGCCAAGGCAAAATCATGAACAGATCTCCCCGCATGATCGGTTAAACGTGAACCAAGCCATTCGGCGTGACGGGCGTTAAAGTCGCCGAGGATCACGATCTCTGCAGAGGGGATCTGCTGTAGCAACGAATCTGTAGCCATTTGGACGTGGTCGAAGAGTCGGTCTGTTTCGGCATTACCGGACGTCGCTGTCTACGCGTAGCCAAAGGATGGACAGGTCCGAACCTTCAAGTCTGCCGAGGCGTCGAGAACAGATGTCCTCTCTGACGTAAACGCAAACTCCAGCCCGAGGCACAAAGGAGTGTTCCAGTTTGTACCCCGGGTAGGAGAGACACGAAACATCAGCCGGAGAGGACACCTGCGTCTCGGTCAGGAAGAGCAAAGCCGGCCTCGCCGTCTCGAGATGGTAGTGGACGGCGTTTAGGTTAGAGTGAAGTCCCCTGATATTGCAGAAATTCACGGACAGCGTGGCAGGGGTCGCCTTGGTCTTGTTGCTCCGTTTGCCCCGAGCAGTTGTAGTCTTGAGAGGAATTTTGCCCCCCCCCCCCCCCCAGAACACGCGGGGCAGCCTGAGCACCCACGCTCAGAAGTGGAGAAACATGGTCGTGGATGCTCAGCTTGGGATTCTCCAGGGGTGCTGGTACCCTCCTGGGGTAGTCTATCATTATTTAATTCCGCTACCATGTTGATGGGGGGGGGGGATTTGGGCCTCCGGCCACCTGCACTCAACAGACGAAACGCGGAAGCAGAGCTTCCACTTCACGCCGGTATTCTGTGAGGTCGTGGTACCACCCCGGTTTGAGCCGGCCCATACGTGCAACAGCAAAGCTGCCGCGTGGCTCTACCACTGTTATAGAAAACAGTGCTTTATATTCAAGGTTCAAGGTCAGTCAAACTGAGCTGAAAGTTTATTATGAAACAAGACTAGTTCTTAACTGAATCACAGTAGCTTGAAAAAGAAAGTTAAAAAAGTGACGGTCTATGGTGGGGATAGAATTTTCTCCTTTCATGGAGACGGTTTACATACATAAATTGCATATGAACAAAAACTCAGATCTGAAACAGTTATGTTTATATACCATACAAACATTGGTTTCACCGCCAGCGCAACAAATCACTTGGCCACTCTGACAAATTAAGATTTCAAGCCCTTGATATCTTTTTTTATTTTAGAATAGGCTGGAAAACCTAAAAGTTGTACACACCTGCAAAATTTCCAGCTCCTTCTCTGCGCTGGCTGCAAGTGCAATTAGTCGCTCTGTCTCCTTCTTTTCCAGATCAAGGAAATAATGTGCATCTTTAACAACTTCTCCATTCACTTTGTCAGCACCATTCACTTTCACACTCCCATTTATAGGGTCTTTAACCGCAATCTCTTTGTCATCATCTAAACTTATCACAGATACACCATTTGTCACAGACACTTCACTTGTTTTACCTTGACCTGGTTCTATTACTTCAGTCTTGTCTATGGACTTTGGAATGTCTTGATCCTTTTGTGGAGATAGATCACATTTTAAGCTTTTCTTAGGCGATAGTATCGGAAGCTGAGCTCGGAATTCCGGTCGTAAATGTCTCATGACAGGTAGAACACTGGAGTCCATTTCATTGGGACTAGAATATATATTTTCACTCTCAAGGTTACTACAGGATTTCCTTGGAGACAAGAATTTATCAGGGCAGTTTAATGACTTCTCCATTAGTACTTTGGAATCATCTTCATCACTATGACTTTTAAATTTAAGGCGTTTTTGGTTAAAGAATCCTTGTGCAAGTGCTCCGGGACCGTACAGTCTTTCGACACGTTGTTGAATAAAACTTTTCATTGGACTTGTCAGTTTCTCACCATTTTCTTTTGTAATCTCCACCCTTTTCGACATACAATTTGAAGATATTGTGTAAGATTCAGAGCTAAACCGGGATTCCTTGCCATTTGTCGTAACTGTTTGTCTGAAATTGGTTTCTGAGTAACTAGACTTAAATGTAATTTCTTTCGCATTATCGACTTCATCCTTATGTAGCATTGATGTGGCGAAATTCTTAGTTTCACTAGATATATAAGGTCTACTCGTCGTCATCATGCTGGGGCCTAAAAAATCGTTCTTAAGTTGTTTATTTTCTGCAGCCATATAAGCATGTGCTGGTGATGACAGGTACGGATCCGTGTGCGCCTTAGAAGGCGCTTTAGTTGTCAAATTAGTTCCAGTGTCATGGGGAATAAAATTAGGTACAAGCAGTTTGTTTGCACCAATAGGGACCGGAACAAGTAAAGAGTTATTTTCGCTTTTATACTGGTATGTGTGTGTAATGGGCCTTATGGGTGATGCTTCGCGACTCTTATTGATATCCTGCCGTAGCTTTGAGTCGTATGTTGTGAGATTAGTGTAACCATTGACTGAGCAAGCCAAGTTCAAATAACTAGGCTTTTTTTGAGTTACTTCTTCTCGTTTTTTATGATATCCACGTGACCTATGACTACTAGTTTCCACGTAAAGTTTAGGTGGAGGTTTAAGTAGATTTTCTTTCCTAGGCGTTGGTGTGTGGCCCTCTGGAGTTTGTGTGGGTGTGAGCGTGGGTGTTGGCTGGTAGCTCGGTTGTAGATTTGATCCAGCTCTCTCCTGTATTCGGGACGTGAAGTCCCGAATGTGGCTATTGGTGGATGATGGCGTGAGGAGATTCAAGCTTCCTGAAGTGGTATCTGCGGTGACAATATAAGAAATATTAATCCACACACAATAAAAAGGAAATGCAATAAACACAGAAATATTTATGAAATTAAATAAATTACTTTATTCGTATTTCATTTATAATTAAGATTTCTATAAATTTAAATGAAAAAAAATTTCATTTTTAAAGGAGATATTTGTATATTATTTATGTTATTAGCATTTGTCCGCAATAAATATATATACAAGTGCCATATTTCTTATTAGCTCATATGATGTATTGATCAATTTCAATCAAAGGTAGAAATTATCAAGAGACCATGTTGACCTTTGCCAATTACTGTCGAAACATATTTAAGCAACACACAAAACATATGACAGCGCTGCAAGTGTATGGTCAAAAAACTTAGACAATCACACATATAAGCTTATGCAATATATAAGACTAAAGGTAAGCTTGGATGCAGTGTACCATTGTAAGATGTGTAAGATAGGGGATTGGCTCAAAACATTTTTTTAAGTACTACTACTACTAATAAAAATGAAACACAATAAAAATTATATTGTTTTCTAATTTTTAAAAATTATAGAACAAAACTGATATATTCAAAATTTTCTCATTGATACAATAAATCCAAAATGATTTTCTTATACTTAGTAGAAAACATTGGTATTTCCTTGATAAGACGTAGTTAGAAAGAGGGTACTTTGGTATTATCCCGTCGACTTCTCAATTTACACTTTTTTTTAATTAAAACATTCAATTATTTCAATATTATATAACGTGCGCGCAGCCCAAATCAAAATTTTTTTAATTAAAACATTCAATTATTTCAATATTATATACGCGCGCCTTTAGGGTGGCTTACGAGCGCCCCATAACTACTGTCAAAAAGGAATGATTACAAAAACGCCCCATGAACCCTACTGTCAAAAAAGGAATGATTACTTTTACTATAGTACCAAAAAGAGTTCATAAAAATGAGTGTTGCTTGTGTATAATGAAATAATATGCATAAATTCTTTTAATGCCAGTTTAATACTTACAAGTATTTTGTATTTCAAACTATAAAAAGTAATCACACATTTTAGAAAAAAATATTTAATGAAATGATAAACAATAAGGCACACATCTACTTTACAACTCATATTCAATATTTATTCATATTCAATATTAAATAGTAAATTGATTAATTATTATCTTATCAAGGTAATAATGATTACGTTGCTGTGGCCAAATACTCACTAAATACATTTTAGTTATTTTGTATGTTTGTATCTGTTGAATTAAATTAAAATAATAAAGTTAATTTTAAAATTACATAATAGTATTAATTATACTATGGACATATTAAGGAGTGTAAAATAAATGGGCATTATAACTTATGGATATGAAACAATCATCATTGGATGAAAGGAATACTAACTTACAAAAATCAAATTAGAGTCAGTAATTTTATTATCATAGTTTTTTTTAGGAAGAGGTACAATTTTGTCCTATGATAGTAAAAACTGAATATTGTTCAAATCAATGTGTGGCACATTGAGTATTTAACTCTTCTTGCTGTCAAAATTGCCTTCACGTGGATATTCTTGTAATTATCAATAACACTTTAGCATTAGATTAAATACATTTACCATTACATGTATTCCTGTTGTTTACCTTTGCCTTGCGTATGTAGACTACGAAAAAGCCTTTCATTCCGTCGAAATTTGGACGGTGCTACAGTCCAAAATGACTGTCGATGTCGGTATATCGAAGTGCAAGTGTTCGTACAGTAGACCTACAACGGCTATCTGAGTACAGAATCAGAGTACAAAACCTATCCAACTGCAGAGAGGTGTAAGACAGGGTGACGTTATATTCCCGAAACTCTTCACCGCTACATTGGATGATGTTTTCTAGCTACTGAACAGGAAAGGATAAAGTATTAATATCAATGGTGAGTACATCACTCACCTTCGATTTGCCAACAATATAGTCCTTATTAAAGCATATATAAGCATATTTTTAAAGCAACTACAGAGAGGTGTAAGACAGGGTGACGTTATATCCCCGAAACTCTTCACCGCTGCATTGGAAGACGTTTTCAAGCTACTGGACTGGAAAGGATACGGTATTAACATCAATGGCGAGTACATCACTCACCTTCGATTTGTCGACGATATAGTCCTTATGGCAGAATCGCTGGAGGACTTAAGCACTATGCTCAATTACCTCAATAGTGCCTCCCAACAGATAGGTAGGTAGGTCTTAGGATGAACATGGATAAAACAAAGATCATGTTTAATGTCCATGTCACACCTATGCCGGTAGTTGTTGGGAGCATAGTGCTCGAAGTAGTTGATGAGTACGTTTACCTGGGACAAATAGTCCGACTAGGTAAGTCCAACTTCGACCGATAGGTTAATCGACGGATTCAACTCGGCTGGTCAGCGTTCGGGAAATTACGACACATCTTCTCATCAGGTATACCTCAAACTCTGAAAACTAGATTGTACAACCAGTGTGTGTTGTCAGTGATGACTTACGGATCTGAGACGTGGTCCTTCACTGCTGGCTGTATGAGGACGCTCAAGGTCGCTCAGCGAGCTATGGAGAGAGCTCTGCTCGGAGTTTCTCTGCGTGATAGACACAGAAATGAGGATATCCGCAGTAAAACCAGAGTGACCGACATAGCCCAGCGGATTAGTAAGCTGAAGTGGCAATGGGCCGGCCATATAGCTCGAAGAACCGATAACCGGAAGAAAGGTTCTCGAGTGGCAGCCTCGTACCGGTAGGCGTAGTGTAGGGCGACCCCCCACTAGACGGAGTTGAACTAGCAAGCATACTAAGCTCTGCAGCTAATGTTGTGAAAAAGATTAGAGATCTCATTAATATCGAGACAGCTAGAATAGTTTATTTCAATTATTTTCATAGCATAATGTCATATGGAATTTTGCTATGGGGGAATGCGGCTGATTTAGAAACTATTTTTGTTTTGGAAAAGAGGGCCATTAGAGCTATTTACAACCTTAAACAAGCGGTTTCGTCTGTCTTCATAAACAAGGCCAGCTTCAGAAAAAAAGTCTTTCGCTGTACACACTGCTGCAGGGTGCTGAATGATAGATTTTGGCAAACTTTGATAAATTTGGGTATTGTGTAGCAATACCTGCCCACCAAATATAAGGGTCACAATCGTGAACAGTTTGAACTGACTTTATTTTCGCTTCTTGCGATGCACCAAATAGCAATGTTCGACATAATATCCGGCGGCCGGATATCCGGCGATAAGACTGGCGGAATATCCGGTATCCAGCCAAACAGCTATCCGTTTCATCTCTACCGGCTATATAGATTGAAGAACCGACAACTGATGGGGAAAAAAGGTTCTCGAGTGGCAGCCTCGTACCGGCAGGCGTAGTGTAGGGCGATCCCTCACTAGATTGAGTGACGACCTAGTAAGACATGCAGGAAGTCGATGCAGATGCATCGATGGCTTACCAGGGCCGTACTTTGTGGCATTCCTTGGGGGAGGCCTATGTTCAGCAGTGGAGGGCTGTAATGATGATGATGATGTATTTTCTTTTTATGAAATCCAAGGTCATATAGTCAAGTCATATACCAAAAATTTGGTTTGTATTATATAAACATTAAAAAAATATGTGAAATAGAATAACCAACAAATTTTTAAGGTACCTTAAAAAAATTATGGTTAATTCCATACAATAAAAGTATTTAAAACCACCTATATAGATTCCTACATCCACATTGACTTTTTTGGATCCTCTCTGTACTTTGATCCTTCCACCATATTTTAAAACAATACTGTGATTGATGTGTCAATTAATAGAATACAATAAGACGATTTTAACGTAATATGGTTTATTACATAATACTTATTAAGTCATTTTTTTATTTACCACTGGTTCGGAAAATACCTTTGTCCTGGGAAGAACCTGCATGAAGAAGAAACCCAACAGGATTATGTTTTTAGACATATATATTTGAAATTTTACTTTCTTTAAACAACACTTTAAAATAATGTTGAATTTTTTTTATATGAATGTTAATAGAACCAGCATGGATGGAATGAATGGTATTCTTCTCCAAGCACAGTTAGATGTGTCTGGAAAAATCGTTGGTGTAAGGAGGCAAGGTATATATATTTCCAATGGTTTTTTTTTGTAACTATAACTTATCTGTCAACTTTTCTGGAGTATAGTTCTAACATCAGAAAAAGAAAGTGTAATTTATTAGCACACCATTTGTATAAATAGCGCTGCTTTTCATTTGTCTCTTCAGTCTGCTAATGTTGTTTAACATAAGGGTTCCAAATAAATTAAATTATATATGATGATAGTTCATCCATCTCAGGATTTATAGGAAAGTACCCAACATTGCTTTAAATAAAAGGTAAGTCGATTTGACCAAAATTAGCTTTGCAGTGGAGAAAAAAATGTTCTTCCATACATCAGTCTATGTCAACTTTGCTCTGAGACCTTGCTTATATGCAAATTTTATGATACTAGGTAAACGGGAAATACCCTAAAGCTATTGATGCCTGAGTTTACAAATATTAAAATAAGTGACATAAGTAAATATATCTTTTGTGCTGACTAGGAAGCTTAAATTTTATATATTTTCAATGAACCTTAGAGTATTGCGATAGATATTAATTCTGACATGACACCTCTACCTGTTCCTGAGAAAAAGGGTTGTGACAGATGGACCAACATAAAACTGACCCAGCGAGCGTTCCTTTTTTGTTGTAGTAAGAAATCTGAATCAAACTGATGTATCAGATTGATCTAAAAAATCTATTCCTTAAAGACGAATAATCAATTTTACTAAAAATTGATCACAGATCAACATAACTAAAAAATTTAATTACATATGTCTCTATAAAAAGTCACCAAGGCGTGCATCAGAATATTTATATGCACAATTAACCTGAAATCCTTCATGCATCTAAAGTATTTTAAGTGTCACTGCCTTCCTTACGATAAGTGCAATAACTCGAGATTTTGGGCTTACTGACTTAAATACATA